ACGGAGTCTCGCTCTGCCGCCCAGGCTGGAGTGCAGTGTCGAGATCTTGGCTCACTGCAACCTCTGCCCTCTGGGTTCAAGCAATTCCCCTGCCTCAGCCTCCTGAGTAGGTGGGACTACAGGTGCAGACCACCACGCCCAGCCAATTTTTTGTATTTTAGTAGAGATGGGGTTTTACCACGTTGGTCAGAGTGGTCTCAATCTCCTGACCTCGTGATCCACCCACCTCGGCCTCCGAAAGTGCTGGGATTACAAGTGTGAGCTACCTTGCCCAGCCTAGTTAATCCCTTTTCTATGCCTTTTCCCCCCGCTGTTCATGAGCTGTATATGACATTTTAAATATAAATTTCACACTGGGCGTGAGATTTCTCATGCCTGTAATCCCAGCACTTTGGGAGGCTAAGGCATGAGAATCCCTTGAGTCCAGGAGTTCAAGACCAGTCTGGGCAACATAGAAAGACTCCCATTTCATTAGCCGGGTACGGTGGCACAGACCTGTAATACCAGCTACTCAGGAGGCTGAGGTGGGAGAATCGTTTGACCCTGGGAGGTGGAGGTTGCCTGGGAGACAGAGGAAGACTCTGTCTCAAAAAAAAAAAAAAAAAAAAAGACTCCCATCTCTATAAAAAATTTTAAAGATTAGCCAGGCATGGTGGCACATATCTGTGGTCCCAGTTACTCAGGAGGTTGAAGTGGGAGGATCCCTTAAGCCCAGTTCAAGGCTGCAGTGAGCTATAACCATACCACTGCACTCCAGCCCAGGTGACAGAAAAAGATCTTGTCTCTTAAAGAAAAAAATAGGCCAGGTGTGGTAGCTCCCGCCTGTAATCCCAGCACTTTTGGAGGGCGAGGCAGGCAGATCACCTGAGGTTGGCAGTTTGAGACCAGCCTGACCAACATGGTGAAACCCCATCTCTACCAAAAATACAAAATTAGCTGGGCATGGTGGCAGGCCCCCAGCTACTTGGGAGGCTGAGGCAGGAGAATCACTTGAATCCAGGAGGCAGAGGTTGCGGTGAGCCGAGATTGCACCACTGCACTCCAACCTGGGCAACAGAGTGATAGAGTGAGACTGTCTCCAAATATATATATATATACACACACACACATATATATATATATATATATATATACGCGCACGCGTGCACACACACACATATATCTATATTTTATATATATATATACACACACACACACACACACAAATTCCAGTATCAGGAGAGTGTAATGTTGGTTGCATCGATCCACTGATGACAATGGAAAAGCATAATGTGATTCACTGCCATGAAAAACATTCAAATTTCTTAGGGTCTAGGCTTCTTTACGTGCACAAACACAGTCACAATAGGCTTTATTTAGCCATCTGTCCTGTTTTGGGTTTTTTTTGAGAGAGGGTCTCGCTCTGTCACCCAGGCTGGAGCGCAATGGCGCAATCATCACTCACTGCAGCCTCAAACTCCTAGGCTCAAGTGATCCTCCCACCTCAGCCTCCCAAGTGTAATAGCTGGGATACAGGCACATGCCACCACGCCTGTCTAATTTTTGTATTTTTGTAGAGACAGGGTCTGCCTATGTTGCCCAGGCTGGTCTCAAACTCCTGGGCTCAAGCGATCCATTCACCTCAGCCTCCCAAAGTGCTGGGTTTATGGGCATGAGCCACAGTGCCCGGCCACCATCTGTTTTTCAGAATAAGTTCTTTCTGTCACAAGGTCAAAGCAAAACAAAAGATCATGAAACTTAAACTGGTCCAGGCGCGGTGGCTCATGCCTGTAATCCGGGCACTTTGGGAGGTCGAGGTAGGTGGATCACCTGAGTTCAAGACCAGCCTGACCAATATGGTGAAACCCTGTCTCTACTAAAAATATAAAACTTAACCAGGCTTGGTGGTGTGCACCTGTAGTCCCAGTTACTCGGCAGGCTGAGGCAGGAGAATGGTTTGCACCTGGAAGGTAGAGATTGTAGTGAGCCGAGATCACCCCACTGCACTCCAGTCTGGGCAAAAGAAAGAAAGAAACTTAAACTGGAAAGGCAAAATAAACAGAAAAAATTATAATGCATGGGCCGGGCGTGGTGGCTCACACCTGTAATCCCAGCACTTTGGGAGGCCAAGGCAGGGGGATCACGAGGTCAGGAATTCGAGACCAGCCTTACTGACATGGTGAAACCCCATCTCTACTAAAAATACAAAAATTAGCTGGGTGTGGTGACGGGTGCCTGTAATCCCAGCTACTCAGGAGGCTGAGGCAGGAGAATGGCTTGAACCCCAGAGGCAGGGGTTGCAGTGAGCCGAGACTGCACCACTGCACTCCAACCTGGGAGTTAAATCTATAATGCATTTTAATGAAACAATCAGTATTCTACTAAACTAAGCAACCCAAACAGAAGACGGCTTTGGTTTTGCTTTAGCTACGCAGCTATCACTAGTGCTTAGTCATAGCAGTCTAATTCACTGTTACCAGTAAATGTATAACAAGCTCTCCTAAGTCCTGACATTTGAGGCAGAAACATGAGGAAAAGGCCTTCTGGTCATCCAGGAGGTCTAACCAACACTGTCAGGAAAGACTACTCGCTGTAACTTAGGCAACTGAGAATCAAAGTCATTTTGTAAAAATCACTTTGAGAAAGACCTTTGAGTTTCATAAACTCCCAGGGTGACTCACTATTCGTGGAATTCCCCTAGGGCAGGAAGGGTAACAGAGAATCGACTTCTGCTTTCTTTTCTACACACAGGATATTGCTAGCAAAGGCAGAGAATCACTTGTTGAACGTTAGGGGTGGTCATGTGGCGACAGTCTGATCACCCCCCCATCTACAGACTGCAGACACTGCAGGCCCCTTTCATGCTTTTCTTTCTTTTTCTTTCTTCTTTCTCTCTTTCTCTCTCTCTTCTCTTTCTCTCTCTCTCTCTCTCTCTTTCTCTCTTTCTTTCTTTCTTTCTTTCTTTTTGAGACAGAGTCTTACTCTGTTGCCCAGGCTGGAGTGCGGTGGTGTGATCTTGGCTCACTGCAACTTCCGCCTCCCAAATTCAAGCGATTCTCCTGCCTCAGCCTCCTGGGTAAATGGGATTACAGGCCCGAGTAACCACACATGGCTAATTTTATATTTTTAGTAGAGACGGGGTTTCACCATGTTGATCAGGTCGGTCTTGAATTCCTGACCTCGTGATCCGCCCACCTCTGCCTCCAAAAGTGCTGGGATTACAGGCATGAATGACCATGCCCAACCTCTTTTTATGCTTTTCATCACTGTGAAAATCATCGTCTGACTCATTTCTGAACCCAGGTAGGGCTGCCGAAGCAAGGCCCTCAGCAGGGTCTGTCTGGGAAAGTGGGTTGTAAAAGAAATGTCATTCATTCCACAAAGGCTTGAATACTTGCGCCAGGAGGTTCAATCCAGGAGTAGCTATCCTCGAATTCCCAAACACTGGTTTCAGAACATTTAAAACTTGTCAAGGGACCGGGCACAGTGGTTCACGCCTGTAATCCCTGCACTTTGGGAGGCTGAGGTGGGCAAATCACGAGGTCAGGAGATTGAGACCATCCTGGCCAACATGGTGAAACCCCGTCTCTACTAAAAATACAAAAATTAGCCAGACGCGGTGGCAGGCACCTGTAGTCCCAGCTACTTGGAGGCTGAGGCAGGGGAATCACTTGAACCTGGGAGGCAGAGGTTGTAGTGAGCTGAGATTGCACCATTGCACTCCAGCCTGGCAACAGAGCGAGACTCTGTCTCAAAAAATAAAATGAAATAAAAAAAGCTTGTCAAGGAATCCAGCTAGTTGTAATCCCAGCACTTTGGGAGGCTGAGGTGGGAGGAGCACTTGAGCCTAGGAGTTTGAGACCAGCCTGGGCAGCAAGATGGTGAGACCCTGTCTCTACAAAAACAAACAAACAAACCAAAAACCGTATCAAGGAATCCAAAGACCTTACCTTTGAAAACTGTAAAAAAAGTAAGAATACACAAGCCCATATTATTTTAGTCACTAGAGCAATGACATCATCACATATCATGTAAATGTATAATTATTTTAAAAAAAAGTTAAAGGAAATGAAGTATAGAGGATGGAGCAAGTGGAGATTACAACAACTGTTAACAGCAACTGAAGTTAGAAGACAGATACCACCAATGTGATGAAAGACGAAAACTTCTGAACCTCAAAATCTATAAACAGTGAAATAAACCCTTCGAGAATTTTAAGATGGAGGCTGGGTGTGGTGGCTCACACCTGTAATCCCAGCACTTTGGGAGGCAGAGGCAGGCAGATCACGTGAAGTCAGGAATTTGAGACAAGCCTGACCAACATGGTGAAACCTCGTCTCTAAAAAATAAAAAAAAAAAAAATTTAAAAGAATTTTAAGATGGTTGGTCCGAAGGTAGTAAGTTATCTAAATTGATTGTTTATAGTCAGTTACAGATCAAACTCCTTATTTTACTCTCACTACTGCACTTGACTACTGTAATAAAAAAGAATTGTAAGATAAAGACACATTCAGACAAGCAAAACTGAGAAAGTTTCGCAAAAGCAGATCTTTACTAAAGGAAACTAGGAAGAACGTACCTCAGGCAGAAGGAAAGGTATCACCATTGCAAGTTGAAAAGGCAAATGACGTCTATTATTCTAAAACAAGTTCTGCCACCGAACCTCTAGAAAGGATCTTGGGATCTGCAGGGCCTCCCGGATCACACTTTGAGAACCTCTGTTTTAATCTTCCTCCCATCTCCTAAGGCCAGGGCTCCTGAGTTTGCTTCCCTGACCCGCCAAGGAGAAAAGAGTAAGGTCAATGGTCGGGGGCCGCAGAGGGAATTCCCCTCCTTCTTTTGCAAAGGTTACTAGGGGACACACGGGCTGCTGGTGGGATTTCCGGGAAGACTTCGTGAAGCGCCACTAGAGGGCGCGGCTAGCGAATCCCACAGCGCGCCCCGCCGCCCATGCTGTTGTTCTAAGGGTTCACACCGGCTCCCGAAAGACAGGGTGGTGCCTGGGAGAGGAAGCGGTGCGCCGCGGGGCCGCGACCTCATTGGAGGAGAGAGGTCCGCCTCACGGCCCGAGGCGGGGCTTCTCGCGCTTAAGAGCTGGCCCGGGCCAGCGCTTGAGTGCGCAGCTTAGTCGTAAGTTGGCTGAATTTTTTCCGTCACTCGCCGAGGTTCGCTGGGTCATGGTGCCAGCCTGACTGAGAAGAGGACGCTCCCGGGAGACGAATGAGGAACCACCTCCTCCTACTGTTCAAGTACAGGGGCCTGGTCCGCAAAGGGAAGAAAAGCAAAAGACGAAAATGGCTAAATTCGTGATCCGCCCAGCCACTGCCGCCGACTGCAGTGACATACTGCGGCTGATCAAGGTAGCGGAGAGCCCGAGTTCCCCTCGGGGCGTGGGGTGGAGATGGCTCCGTTTTCCGGGGTGGAGGAGGATCCACGTTTTGGGGTCTGGGCCGGTGTGAGAGCCCAGCCTGTTCCCCTTTCCGCGCCTACCTCCCTTCGCCCCATCTCCGGTGCGGCCGCCACCCTGGGCAGGACGCCACCCCGCCCCGCCCGCCCCATTCCTTTCCTCTGAGCTGGCCTGGCCGGAGCCTTATTTTGTTTTCCGCTTCTCTCTCTCCATCCCCCCAGGAGCTGGCTAAATATGAATACATGGAAGAACAAGTAATCTTAACTGAAAAAGGTAATTCAACAGCGGCGGGGTGGGGGAAAAGCGTTCGGTGCTTCTCACCTTCGCCGACGCCATTACCACCCCTGCTGTCCCTTCTTGCAGATCTGCTAGAAGATGGCTTTGGAGAGCACCCCTTTTACCACTGCCTGGTTGCAGAAGTCCCCAAAGAGCACTGGACTCCGGAAGGTAACCCCTCTCCCCTTCCAGAAGCCAGAGAGAGCGAGTGTTATGTAAGAAGTAGTGTTGGCGGTGTAGCCCTGACTCCACAGGCCGAAGTTACTGAGAAGTTGGACAGAAAAAAATAGCAAGTGTTCAAAGTACTGAGGAAAAAAAAAATTAGATATGCTGCACTTGAGACTAATAGGGCAGGGTAAAAGAGTCTAAGTTCAGAGTGCTGTGGAGACTCGGAAGAGTTTAAGCTGCTTAAGTAAGTATCAGAGTGCTGTGAAGACCCGGAAGAGTTAGGTATAATGTCATTTGTTGTAATTCAGTTTCATAAAATGGTTCTTGTTTGACCCTAACGTGACCGTTTTTGTAATTGTGTTAAATCACATTTTTTTCTTTAATTTGTCCCAATCTTCAGGTTACAGTCTCTAGCTTCGCCATGTACATGGCCCTTCCGTGTACATGGATGGGCGGGGAGGTAACTAAAAGATCCTTTACACAATAAAGTAGATGATCATGATAAATGAGGTAAGGTCCTATTATCACACAGTTAAAACACGGTAGATCAGAAACCCACTATGATACTCGCTTCCTGTCTGTTTGCAAAGGAATATAAAATGGCTAGAAAGTTTAATTTGAAACCTTTGCCTCCATTTGGAATAGTAGATACCCGTTAAGAGGGTGTCAGATGCCTTTTTTTTTCCTTGCTGATCCCTGTTGATTGGTCAGAAGACAGCTCAGCTAAAAGGGGAAGTTGTTTGGGTGGGTGCTTTTTTTTCTGACGTCTGTTCCTCAGGCTAGAAGAAATCAGCAGAAAACATAAGGGATGAGTACTTTTCAGAGTATGTGGTTGTTACGTAATACCTGTTTCTGGGCAATGCTGCTGCTTCTGACTCAACAAATGGGGAAAGCAAATTGAAAATATGTAAATTGGAAGGCAAGTTCTGAAATTAAACGTTGTACTTTGGCCTGATGTTCTGACCTTTAAGGAAGCAAGACTTTGTAAACTTACAAATATCGACTATTCTGAACTGCCGTGTAAACCTGACTTATTCCCAAGTCAGCATACCAGTATACCAATAGGATGTGAATAATGTGTGTGCAAGTTTAAAACCGTAGCAGTTTTGCTCTGGCAAGTAATGAAAGCTTCCTGAGTGTGAGATCCAGCAGTCTGCAGAGTGGCAAGTCCACAGTTGTAGCCTGACTTCAGTGAGTTCTGATGTGTGCTTTTTGCAAATACATGTTCTCAGAACAGTGAGATCATCCAGCAGTGGCCTGGATTGCATTCATGTAAATCATGAGACAGTCGTGGCTGCTTGTTTCTGTAACACATGCATGTATGTTTTTTAAAACCTATGATAGGCCTCTGATTCTGCAGCTACAACTTTTATGGAATGTTTTCCTTCTCCACATCTCATGTGATACTCTTATTACAGGACACAGCATTGTTGGTTTTGCCATGTACTATTTTACCTATGACCCGTGGATTGGCAAGTTGTTGTATCTTGAGGACTTCTTCGTGATGAGTGATTATAGAGGTATGATTGAGTTTGGGGCAGAGGGTCTGAAGAGTTCAGGGCTGTAAATCCTTACAATTTTAAATCGTATTTCTCTTTAACTTTTTAGGCTTTGGCATAGGATCAGAAATTCTGAAGAATCTAAGCAGGGTATGTTGTAGTTTTTGGTTTCCAAATTTGTAAGTTTACTGGATTATTTTAATGATGGAATAAAAATTGGGTCTTGAAAGCAGGCTGAAATGTCACGGAGTTTGTATTTCACTCTCTCATGATAGGTTGCAATGAAGTGTCGCTGCAGCAGCATGCATTTCTTGGTAGCAGAATGGAATGAACCATCCATCAACTTCTACAAAAGAAGAGGTGCTTCTGACCTGTCCAGTGAAGAGGGTTGGAGACTGTTCAAGATTGACAAGGAGTACTTGCTAAAAATGGCAACAGAGGAGTGAGGAGTGCTGGTGTAGATGATGACAACCTCCATTCTATTTTAGAATAAATTCCCAGCTTATCTTGCTTTCTATGCTGTTAGTAGTGAAATAATAGAATGAGCACCCATTCCAAAGCTTTATTACCAGTGGCGTTGTTGCATGTTTGAAATGAGGTCTGTTTAAAATGGCAATCTCAGAGGCAGTTTGGAGAGTCAGATAGTTCTTGAAACTCTTGATGAACAACAAGATGGTGTGATCTTAATATATATGAAAAAAACTTCATTCTCGTGAGTCATTTAAATGTGTACAATGTACACACTGGTACTTAGAGTTTCTGTTTTGATTCTTTTTTAATAAACTACTCTTTGATTTAATTGTTTGTGGTGTAAGCTTTTTTACTAACTATTTCTTATACATTTTTCTTGCTGTTGAAGACTAAAATGACCCGCAAACATCATTGGATAAATACAATTGCTCAAAATAATTTTTAACCCAATTTAAAGGTTTTGTGATCACGTGTTATGCTAGTATTAACAAAGTCTGGATAGAAGTCAGTTGACTATCAAGGTTTTATATGTAGCAACATGTAAAACATGACTATTTTTTTAAATTGAGAAATAGAGTCTCCTCTGCTGCCCAGGCTGGGGTGCAGTGGCGCGGTCTCAGCTCACTGCAACCTCTGCTTCCGAGATTCAAGCAATTCTCATGCCTCAGCCTCCTGAGTAGCTGGGGCTATAGGTGTGTGCCACCGTATCCAGAAAACTTAAGTATTTTCAGTAGAGATAGGGCTTTGCCACCTTGGCCAGGCTGGTCTTGAACTCCCGACCTCAAGTAATCCACCCACCTCAGCCTCCCAAAGTGCTGAAATTACAGGCATGAGCCACCGCACCTGGCAAAACATGACTTGTTACACTGATGACACTGTACAGTGCATCTGACAGAATTTTCAAGAGCTGAAAAACCAAGTTAGAAACTGAGGCCCACAGTGAATAAGCCAATCATTACACAACTAAAATGTGGAGGTACGATTATGAAACATTGAATATCGAGAAAAAACATCTTGTTACCGAAAACCTCATGCCACACAAGACTTTTTTTAATAGAGCCACGATCTCACCCTTTTGCCCAGGCTGGAGTGCAGTGGTGTGATCACAGCTCACTGCAGCCTTATCTACCTGGTTCAAGCGATTTTCCCACCTTAGCCTCCCAAGTAGCTGGGACTACAGGTGTATGCCACCATGCGTGGCTAATGTTATTTAAAAAATTTTTAATAGACACAGAGTCTCACTAAATTGCCTAGGCTGGTCTCAGATTCTCCTGCCTCAGCCTCCCAAAGTGTTGGGATTACAGGTGTGAGCCGTGGCACCTGACCAAGATAATTTTGACAGTAAAGTGGATCACTGAAATAAGTGTCTTCTGTGAACTAAAAAAGTACACATTTTTACAGGAAATTTGCAAACAGAAAAGCTCCAGTTGGACACAGGTACAAATCAGACAAATTAGCATCTTATTTGGAGGGTGAATTTGTAGTACTGTGTTAATACAATGGATTTTTAGAGCAGAGAAACAATAGCCCTTAAAACTGCCAGGAGGGAAAGAAGTAAACAAATGCTTTCTAAGGACTGAAATGCAAAAGAAGAGGTTAAGAGGAAAAGACCGTTTTCCCCTTAGATATGTGAACTCCTTTCATTATTCATTACATTGGCCCAAATTCCTAAACCGACTAATTTCCACAATAAAGAAAATGGTAGTTGATAAGAACCCCTGTAGACTAAGATCCAAGATAAATGTTTTCCAAAAGAAGTCAGATACCTGAAAACAATGCTCTGTATCTTTCCGTGTTCTCCAGGAAATACCGAGCGCCTGGTCGAAGGGAATGTTGTCCCGCCATCCTTTGTATCAGTGTCTGTTGTGGCTTCCTAGAGTAGAAAGCAACCATATGTAAAAGTGTAACCCTGTTTTATATTTAATACAGGAGGGCTTTGGGGTTTATCGGTGGCTCAGCGAGCATGCCATGAAAACAGGCTCACAAGTCAATCATCAACCAGGGACCTATTAGGCAGGCAAGTAACTACATAAGAGAAACTGGCAAAAATAAAAGGGTAACTAAACACAAAGAGCCTTGTGGGGAAGTAAGATACTTTGCATATTGTGTTTTGGAAAGTGAGCCTCTTAGAGGAAAACAACTACATGCTGACTGTGGTTAAATATATGAATAAATTAAATTAACAAGAAAGTTACAATATAACTCTTTGTTTTCTCATCTTTCTTAGAGCTTAGCCTTAAAGGCCCAGTATTGTCAAGATAAAGGCTTTTTTTTTTTTTTTTTTTTTTTTTGAGATGGAGTCTTCCCTGTGTCACCCAGGCTGGAGTGTAGTGGCGTGATCTCAGCTCATTGCAACCTCCACCTCCGAGGTTCAAGCAATTCTCTGCCTCAGCCTCCAGAGTAACTGGGACTACAGGTACCCACCACCACATCTGGCTAATTTTTTGTATCTTTAGTAGAGATGGGGTTTCACCGTGTTGGCCAGGATGGTCTCGATCTCCTCACCTCGTGATCTGCCCACCTGAGCCTCCCAAAGTGCTGTGATTACAGGCATAAGCCACCGTGCCCAGCCGATAAAGGCTTTTATGAAGTTTTTGTATCCACTTTAGAGAAGTCACTTAAGTGTAAAATATATTTAATTTTTATTTATTAAATTTTTTCCTTTCTTTTTTTCATATGTTCCACAAAAGAAATTTATTTTGTTGTTTTTTTGTTTGTTTGTTTGTTTTTTGTTTTTTTTTTTTGAGATGGAGTTTCGCTCTTGTTACCCAGGCTGGAGTGCAATGGCGCGATCTCGGCTCACCGCAACCTCCGCCTCCTGGGTTCAGGCAATTCTCCTGCCTCAGCCTCCTGAGTAGCTGGGATTACAGGCATGCGCCACCATGCCCAGCTAATTTTTTGTATTTTTAGTAGAGACGGGGTTTCACCATGTTGACCAGGTTGGTCTCGATCTCTCGACCTCGTGATCCACCCACCTCGGCCTCCCAAAGTGCTGGGATTACAGGCTTGAGCCACCGCACCCGGCCCTATTTTGTTGTTTTTTGAGATAAAGTTTCGCTCTTGTTACCCAGGCTGGAATGCAATGGCGCGATCTCGGCTCACCGCAATCTCCGCCTCCAGGGTTCAAGCAATTCTCCTGCCTCAGCCTCCCGAGTAGCTGGCACTACAGGCGCGTGCCACCATGCCCAGCTAATTTTTGTATTTTTAGTAGAGACAGGGTTTCACCATGTTGACCAGGATGGTCTCGATCTCTTGACCTCGTGATCCACTCGCCTCAGCCTCCCAAAGTGCTGGGATTATAGGCGTGAGCCACCTCGCCCGGCCTTTATTTTATTTTTTCTTGAGACAGGTTCTCGGTCTGTTGCCCAGGCTGGAGTACAGTATGCAATTGCAGCTTACTTGCAGCCTCGACCTTCTGGGCTCAAGCAATCCTCCTGCCTCAGCATCCTGAGTACATCCTGAGTAGCTAGACTACAGGAATGTACCACGACGCCCAGCTTTTTGTTGTTGTTGATTTTTTTTGTAGAGATGAGGTCTCGCTACATCTCCCAGGTTGGTCTCCAACTCCTGGCCTCAAGTGATCCTCCCACCTTGGCCTCCCAAAGTGCTGGGATTACAGGCATGAGCCACCATGCCCAGCCAAGTGTAATATTTAGAAGCTGAAACACCACCACATTAGCCCACTGCAAGCTCAACCCAATTACAAAGACACCTCTTTAAAAACTAAACTATAAAGCAAATCTGTAAAGGTTGAAGTCACCAGGCAAGTAAGAAAACATGTTATGGGGAAATTATCGGAAAAGAAACAACAAACAATGATAAACATGAAAAAGGAAAAAAAGAGTCCACATAAGCAACGCTCCCGTAAAAATAGTTTTGTTTTGTTTTGTTTGAGACAGAGTCTCACACTGTCACTGGGGCTAGAGTGCAATGGCTCAATCTTGGCTCATTGCAACCTCCCCCTCCCAGGTTCATGCAATTCTCCTGCCTCTGCCTCCCGAGTAGCTAGGATTACAGGCACACACCACTACACCTGGCTAGTTGTTTTTGTATTTTTAGTAGAAATGGGATTTCACTATATTGGCCAGACTGGTCTCGAACTCCTGACCTCGTAATCCACCCGCCTCAGTCTCCCAAAGTTCTGGGATTACAGGTGTGAGCCACTGCACCTGGCAAAAAATATCTTTAAAATTACTATTTTACTAAAATATTATGCCTAACAGAATTATTTCAGAGAAATAGTATTTTAGGTCTAAGGACTTACCAATTATTGCATCAGGATATTTTGGGTTTACTGTGTGTGTTAAAAACAATAACTTTCATACCTGTAATCCCAGCAGGAAGGCTGAGGTGGGTAGATCACCGAGGTCAAGAGATCGAGACCATCCTGGCCAACATGGTGAAACCCTATCTCTACTAAAAATACAAAAATTAGCTGGGCATGGTGGTGCATGCCTGTAGTTCCAGCTACTTGGGAGGCTGAGGCAGGAGAATCGCTTGAACCCAGGAGGCAAAAATTGCGGTGAGCGCCACTATACTCCAGCCTGGTGACAGAGTGAGACACTGTCTCAAAAAAAAAAATAGTAATAACTTATTTGCTATTGAAACAGGAAGTAGCTAGGTTTGTCCATGCATAAGCTTAAGACATCCTACTACCAATCTGATTACAGGGTTGATAGTGGAGTCATGGTCATCATCCACACCAGACCCCAAGATCATCAACCACTTAGATTCCACAGAGTAGTCTTTCTAGGGAAAGAAAGTAGAGTCTTTTTTACAGAAATACTGAAGAAACAATCCAGAAAAACCTAATGATTAATGTCTTAGACCCAATCCACCCCTTCCAGTGAGTCTCCTTTCTACTGGGGACCCAGCAGGGCCTAGAATGGATGATGCTTATCATGGTTCATTGAAGCAAGTGGCTGCTCACCAGCAACTGATGGACCTGGCCATGCCCTGGGAAACCAGCCACCTTCTCCTGCTAGGAGTGAAGCGATTTCCTCCCTGACTGTGACAGGCATGACCTTCCTCTGAGCTTGCAGGTGGCCATGTCTGCTCCTAGAATTCTGTTTCCTTGACAGGTGCCATCTTTGGTTTTTTTTGGTTTGTTTTGAGATGGAGTTTCACTTTTGTAACCCAGGCTGGAGTGCAGTGGTGCGATCTCAGCTCACTGCAACCTCCACCTCCCGGGTTTAAGCGATTCTCCTGCCTCAGCCTCCAGATGGGCAGGGATTACAGGGGTGCACCCCAACACCAGGCTAATTTTTGTATTTTTAGTAGAGACGGGGTTTCACCATGTTGGCCAGGCTGGTCTCGAACTCCTGACCT